TTTATATGTTGTGCATCAAATATAAATTTAGCTAATACCATGTACGTACGTTGGGAAATTACAGTGGTAAAATTATATTACTTGATGTTATGATATAGAAACTATAAAAGGTAAGGTGAGGTGAGGTGAGGTGAGGTGCGTATATCGTAATCATTACGATTTGATGGATTTAGGTTCAGGGGTTCTCAAAAAATATCTAAAATAATATATTAATTCATTTTTGCGGAAATTGGAGTGTAACCTTGGCGGGAAACGGTGAGGACCGTGATTTTTTTATTTGTATAACAATACAAACATTGCTCACAGGCTTGAATGGGAAATGTCTGTAAACGACGCCGAAAAAAATTTCATGACATTAGAGGAAGAGCGCCTGCTGAGGCTGAAGGAATACGCTCACCACGTGTCGCAGACCTACCAACAGTTAGTTCCAAAAATTTCTCAGGTAATTTAATCGTCGTACTTATCTTCTCACCCAACTCTTAAACAAGCCACCTTTTGTTTTTTAGTTATCTTCACGACTCAGCGAACCGACGTACGAGTGCGATGTGTCGCAAGATTTTACAATCATCACAGACACAGTGAATCGATACGACGAAGATCTGAGCATCCAAGTGCTGCCCGACTTTTATCCAGAACACACGAATCTGGCGATGAACAAAAAAAGAAGAATATCCGTGAGTGATTTTTCACGGGCGTTTTCCCGACAAAAACAATAATAATAAACATATATATAAAAAAAAATACATATATTTAATATAATTATAATAATATTATGTTAGGCGTTGACGAAAATACTGCAGCTCGTCAGACAGGATTTGGACCGGGAGCGGCGCAGTAAAAAAGGATTGGACACGTTGGCCAACGCGATGCACCACCACGCTTCTTCCGGTTTGAAACACGACGACTCGCACAAAAACGTCTACGAAAAACTTCACCACGTTAGTCCAGAACACATTTTTTTCATACCTACACTCCATCATTTGTCCTTATCGGGACTCGCGAGGGCGTCGGGCGCACCCGTCGACGATTCGGAATGTTCTATTACGAGTTCCAACTGGATCTTCCTTTTTCGGAAACTGATAACATGTACAGGGTGATTCGCAACATGCTCGTCTAAGCATTTTTCATCAAGCAACGAATTTATCCAAATTGTTTTGTTTTTGGAATTTTTAAGTATACCTACTTTAGGATCATATTTTCAGTTATTTACTCGAGTTTACAATAATCATCATAGAAACCATATCATCCAAACCCATTATCGTGGAGCTACCATATCCGTATTACACTAAGTTAAAATTCGACCGATTTAAAATTTTGAATTTTATAGAACCTTAAAATTAAGATATTAATTTCTGAGTTCTGTGAAATAATTGCATTACATTTGTAATCGTTTTGGTCACATCACATTATAAATAGAAAGTGATTCCTAAATAACCTGGGTCATAGTAACTACTCTAGGAATGTATGAATTCGACCATTTTAAAATATCGAACTTTAAGAAGTCCCTGTGTTTAATTAACTACCGCTTTTAGTATTTCTTATAGCTGTATACAAGACAAATATATTTTATTGTCCACGACGTATTGAAATGTGCTTGTGCGAGAGTTTAAAGCGATAACTGATTACACACACGCATTATGTTCATTTACTATACATCTCACACACTGCAGTCACAGCCCAAATGTACGTGTCGTGTGAATTGCCTAAATTTTACTCCTTAAAACATTCTACGCATGTATCTTCTAGTGTATTTTAAAATTACCAAAAAATCAGAATAAATTTGAATAAATTCATCGTTATGGATGGTAAATATGGGAGTGCAGAGCGCGTATCACCCTGTATAATATCATAAAATAACCGCAACAGTTGTCGTTGAGATTTGTTCTTTTGTAATCATCGTATCTATCAACTCGTTTTAGCCATTGTCAATTAAATGCGCGTACGAGTTGTGTTACACTGCTGCAGCCTGCGGCAGTAAACAACACACTTGACGCCTATGCAATGATTACAATGATACTATCATGTCACGTGCTCACTTTGTTTTCAGACGAATTTAATGATATTGTACTTAGAAGCGGTCAATTATAAGGTAGTTACTGCTCTGGCCACTCTAGAAGGTCACCCGCCAGCAGCATCCAACACGTTCTCGCAGCACATCGAGACGACCAGAGACAAAAACGGACATCAGATGTCGGTGCTCAAAGTACGTACCCACGCAAATCCCGAACATCGGTCGTTGCCGCCCACCGAGTCTTATCGGACGGTCGGCGATTCGTTTACAAAATATTTTTACACCTTATTGACCAGATATTGGGCCACTACAAAAAATGAAATGAAATGGTTAACAGCACCGGAAATCGGGCCATATTATATTTATAGCTTAACTAAAATAACTCGTGACTTAATAACTTGAATAAATTCAATGTTTACACATTTATTTTATTTTATCCATTCGATAAAGCTACGCAATTATTATTTAATTAAAAAAAAATATCCAAGAAATATAATACACAGTCGGTTATAAATTATTACAACACTCCGAAACCAATTATTTTTTTTTTGAATAATGAGATACAATTAAAAAACCTTCAAATTAGTGTACGGCATAGCGACAATAATATATAACTCGTAAATAATATTAATACAATAATAATATTATCTCCCCCGACAAGTATAATATAAGGAGTTCATAAAAATGGTGAAGTCGTGGCCCCGTTGCGGCGTGCACCTCTTAAAAAATATGTCGAATTGCAATAGTTACCGCGGTACTCCTTTTCGAAAAAAAGATTAAATGTGGAGGCCCAATTTCCGGACGTCCGATTTATCCATCAACCTTTAACCATCATAATGTATTGTTCTCTGTCCATTATCTAGATGCCAGCGTCGGTGTGCCAGAAGCTGACGTCCTCTGCAGCTCCCATCGACGCCCTACTTAACGAGTCCATGTGGTCAGACCGAGGATCCGCGGACGGCACTGACATCGGTGGGCAATTTTTCCGTTGCGTTTATGAGAATCTCTCTGGATCAAGTTCTGATCGCGTTACTACTCGTTGTCGTATATGTTTAGACGGACAGACGACAGTAGATAGGGGAAAAACGGTCGATGGAAATTCTTAGAGAAACCGTTCCTATATATGCGTCGTGTACTGGAACTGTCGTCGTCGTGATACGATTGAAATATCAGTAGTCTCACATAATTAGCCAATTAGTGCCATAAATACCTATATGAATTGTTTTTTTAACACGAATTATTTTTGATTTCCGTGTTGTTACTATTATATCGATCGTCGGTGTATTGTTTTATTTTATTCGCCAGATTTGATGAATCATGTTTCAAAAACGTAAAACGTTTCACCGAAAAACACGTATTCGTTCATCACTGAAATGTAGCTATAATTCTCCACGGAGGGTTATTATTATGACTGTGTTCCATCTATAAACTGTCTCGATTGTCTAAAATCGCAAAGGAATGCAGACTCATCAGTTTAAACATATATTAATCGCATAAAAATTCAATGAGATAGGAGTACAATTTTTAATGGTTTTAGTTTTATTGATTGAAAACACCAAGTAACATAATTTTATTAATGAAAATTGAAAATTATTTGCTGATAACTGATAAGTAATGAATATTTATTATTTACTTTCAATAGTGAAAATGTATTTCCAAAACAATATAATTCTACGAAGTTTGTACCTATAAATAGTTACCTTATCATGTTAATTGAAAAACACATAAATCCAAGTATAATCTAGATACATCAGATTAATAAACCCCTGTATGAATTATCAAGGACTCGATGTAACTTTTCAACTAAGGTGTAAAGTGAAAAAAAAATGTTTAATATTTTGTTCATCGGGAAATCAAAAACTTGTTTTTTCTACATTGATTCAACTGTGCAATAGGTTTGATAAGGTTGATTTTAAAGTAGCTGTTTACAACACTCATATGATTCAAAACTTGCTTAATCTTATAAACACAACGTTTATGTAGATTATATAGTTGTTATAATGATCATGACGTGATAACCTTATGTACCGTGATGCTTCAAATCATCAAACCACGTGTTATCAAATGTATAGAAATATTATTACAATTAAAGTATGAACTAGTCATTAGATATTAAGACAAAATTATTCAATTATAATAACACTTATATCATCATCTGCATATTGAACATGCTGACTGTTCGTATAGGTTAGATTAGGTTAATTTCAATTTGTGATATTTTGTAGTATTGTTATTGTTTGTTGTTCATTCGACGTAGTACTAATCAGGAAGATTTATTTGTATAGATGATTTCTCTAGCGACGAAGATGATGCTGACGATGACGATGACGACGAAAACATCAAAAAACCTCGCTGTAAGGCTCTCTACCAGTATTCAGCGAAATTGAACGATGAACTGAGCTTAGAACCAGGTAAGCCAAACATTAAAACTTTCACCGTTGGGGTGCACGTTAGAGGATAATCGAATCGTGTTATTTTATGTTTTATTAATTTGTTTTAGGCGACGTTATACACATCCACAGCAAGAAGTCCGACGGCTGGTGGTTAGGAGAGCTGAAGGGCGCTGTCGGAGTATTCCCAGCTACATACGTTGTAGAAATTGACTGAAATGTGTTTAAAATATTTATATTGTATATAATTATAAGTTTACCAAAGATTATTAGAGCCTAACAAATCACACACAGTTTATAGCATATACCTTTATGTACAATTTTTTGTTAACGTTTAAGTATTAAGTATAATCTTATACAGGTAATTATTACAAAAATAAAACATTTTCTTAATTTTGTAATTTTTTGTTGTTATTGTTAAATCATATTAAAAAAAATGTCACATGTTTTATATATACTTAATACTCATTTTGTAGACTGTATAGGTACTTAAACTATATCGTACGTTTTAAGAACAATAATAATAATACAATACCACAATAATAATAATAATAATAATAATAATAATAATAATAATAATAATAATAAAATATTGTATATAAATAAATTACCACAGATAAAGCTCGCGGGAGGATTATGTTCTGCCAGAGGATGGGGAGGGCGATCTGCGGGAGCGAAGAGTTAAGTCGTCGACGGGAATGTTTTTTTGGGTGACGAATGGTGGTGGGATGGGACAAGTCAAGGGACTGGTTTGATCGTATTATTCGAGTACATATATCATAATATTTTACACCTTTACAACAGTATTTTTGTGCTGATGTTATATGATAAGGAGCACGACGAGATTTTTTAATAAACACACATCATCATCATTTCGCATGATAATCACAATAATTATAATAATGATGACATGTGCACAGTTGGAGGGTGGTTTCACCACACTTGGCACTTCTTGACCGGGTTCATGTTGGAACCAAGCGGACACCGGAAGTCGTTGCTGAAGTCTTCCAGGTTGGAGAACGGCCCGATGATCCGGAAACGTCCGGGCGAGTGGAAACCAGTGGTGATGCGGTTCTTGAGTGTTTCCGGTCGGTACTTGGAGCACCACACGTTGGCGGCACTGACCCAGAACATCTGCTGCGGTGTGTAGTCCTGGAGTCCGGGAAGACGAGGTTCGACGCCGTGTCGTTTGGTCCATACGTTGTACGCGTAGTACGCCTCCTTCACGCCACCGTTGTCCGCGATGTTCTCGCCCTGCGTGTTGATGCCGTTCAACTGTGGAAAATAATTCGTTATAGGTTAGGTCGTGGGTAAATACAGCCGGTGGATATTGGTCCAGGTCCGAGAGATTTGAATAAAAAATTATCGGCAGATGCAATTCGTGAAATATTTTTAAAAAAAAATTGATCGGTGTTGTACCAAAAATATGTCAATTAAAACTCAACGACGACCGAGAATAAGAATTTAAGTCTTCTGCGCGGCGACTACTCGAAAGATAAGAGATACATATATAAAGAGGCATTGTGAAGTACCAACTACTATAAGACAAATATCGTAATGCTATAATCCGTGCGGTTTGAATGTGTAAACTTTTAACTACAAATTATATCAATAAGAAAGTCGGCGTCTCTTAGTGGCTATGTTTAAGGCGTAAGTTTAGGCAATTTCTAATCTCGTCGACACTGCTCGTGATCTTTGTTTTAGTCGTAAACGACTTTAGTATGAGCTCAAAATGAGGGTGGACGTGGTGAACTGGTGACTATGTTTTATAGCACATGTACTCGAATTTACAGGTCATCAAAGGCACTAGAAAATATTATTGTCCTTATGCTGTAGTAAATAATGTCTATAAGCTGGTGAATATTAATAATAATAATATATTTCTAGTAGTCCAATTTTAATTTTAAAAAATAATTTGAATTCGACTTTTTGTTTTGCAGGAAATAAGTTTTGGATATTTAGGATAAATATGCACTTTAAAGGGCTGACAAAACAAAAAAAACGAAAAAGAATTTCTCATAAAACATCATAAAAATAAGCTAACAAATTCAAATTATTTTTCAAAATTAAAATTGAACTACTATAATTTATCATGTTTTTTTACCAGCTCATTGGTCTGAATGCATCAAAAATCTAATCGCTCACAACCTTGCGTTATAAATTTATGTTACGAACGATACAATATTAATATATTATGTAGGTACTAAAACCATATCAGTGCTGTTATTTTCAATAAAATGTTATTTGTAACTGGTTTTACGCGCCCATTTATTGTATCTTGTAATTTTGAATTTATCAAAATAAATCATTTTCTTACGCCCCCTTAAGTCAAAGTCAATGACATTGACGATTATTCGGTGCAGCGGGTATTTACGTTTTTAGTGAGAGAATCTTTTAACAGTATTCGTTCCGAACGAGTAACCCAAAATGATCACATGTTATTTTGGATGCGTTTTTAAAATTCTAATTACTAATCGATTGCTTGGTAGAATCTATAATGACGAACAGTCTGGGTATTCGACATTCAATAAAAATTACTAATAACATATTCAACCTCGAAGTTAATGCGCGTAAAAACGTTGTCTTAGGAAACTTATTTTATTGCACACACCTTGAGACCGACTTCGTGAGCCGTGTAATTTCCATACTGTCTGATGATGCACGACGCCTTTTCCAAGTAGCGTTTCTTCGTTTCCTCTGCCCACCAGTCCACCAGGTTACCCTGTTTATCGAACTGTCTGCCTTGGTCATCAAAACCATGGGTGATCTCGTGACCGATTACGAACCCAATGGCGCCGTAATTCATGTACCGAGGACGATCGCTGGAGAAGAACGCGCCTTGCAAGATACCGGCGGGAAACTCTGGAAAATTTAAAATCGCATAAATTCAAATTTATATATTACAACTACGTGAAAAAACCTTTTAAAAAGAATTCATGTACCTAGATATTTATGTACAATTAGATCGTGGTTAAGAAAAATCACATTTGACATTATAAATAGTTTTTTTTTTTTAATTTCGGTTTTGTTGAGTATAGTGTTTAGTGGAAGAATAAAACTGATAAACTATTTAGTGTTCTCTGTTACAATGATTTAAAAAGCAGTTTAATTTACGCGTTGCGCTGTTCCTAATACGTCACCCAAATAATTTGGATGGGCTGAGCAGATAATTATTGTTTGAAGACTACTAAATTTCGTTGTTTTATTTAAAATGTTGATATGGCTAATTGGTACGTCCAACTTTAATTTTCTGCAATTATGCAACATGGGTAGACACCGAATAATTAGATATTTGTCTAGTATGTTTTGCAATATTACTCACGGATGCTGTTTTCAATAGCACTATAAAATGCATTCACTATTGCTGTTTTACTGTGAGTAATCCAATCCGATTTGTTAACAGGTTGCCTTAATTTCGAAAAGCTGTAGTCAGTGCCAAATTTAGTCAAATTTAATACTGACGTATAATAGTCATTGTCGTTGACTTCAAGCTAAGAAAACAATAACAACACACAATAATTATTAATCAAAAACGCCCTCATAACAAAAACTATTTTTTTAATGTTTTAATCATAATATTATACTGTTTAATTATTTACTATGCTCTCTAGTTAGGTCATAATAAAATATTCAATTATAATTACATTTTCATAGAACGCATTCAACTTGCTGTCGTCCAATAATTCATCAGGGTATGCAATGTGACTGGTCATCGATTTTGCTTTGTCTATAGCGTTTTTCCTGTGATGATAAAAATTATAAGATCATAAACATTTTTACTATCAAAAGAGATGTTTATATGAACTGAAAGTCAAACTTTACCTTGTTTCATCGTCCATCCAATCAATCGACGACAATATTTTGTACATTTCCTCCCTGATACCATTCACCATTTCTAAAGCGTTCTTTTTAGCATTTTCGTCGAAGAATCGTCTTACGTACAACGACCCGATGGCCAGTGAAAAACTTCCGGAACTTATGTCCACGCATTCCTTCCATCTGGGTTCTCTTTCAGTCCTACCAGAGAGCTCGGTGCTGTACTCCAATTGTCTTTTTCTCATTTCTTCGGTCAGATAACTGACGGACGCCGCGGCAGCTCTCCAAATCACGTAATTCGCTTGGATCCTGTCGGAAAAATGAAATTACGGATTGTACTGTTAAGGGCGTTTCACTTGCGTTACTATAAGGCAAACATGTCAAACTTATTGCACTGGACCAAACATATTGAATAGCTTACAATGTGGGCAGCACGTACGCATTTATCGAATAAAAAACATTTTATTCAAATTATTTAATGTTTTTTTTTTTTTTAATAACGCAGTTATTTAAGATCTGAATTTCGGATTTTTTATATATACTTAAAAACCATATTTTAAGATTCTTGAGATTTTTAAGGAGTGTCTCCTGTGGAGATGTAAACTTCTATTTTTCAAATGAGAACTCCCCCTTTTCAACTGTGAATTATTTACCTTATAATTTTGTTTAAAAATTTGAGATATCAAATATCAAAATTCGTAAGAATAGTTTTTGAATTATTTAACTTTGTGTTTCAAGGTTAAAAGGTCCATGGTATTGGGTTTGTATGATATAGGGACTATGATGATGAAGTATAATGTATACCTCTTGGTCCTCGCTTATATAGTTATGACACTAAAGGAAAATCGTATAGTTTTTTTCAATTAATTGTTCATTAATATAGCTATGGACCATAAAAATGAGTCGAGGACCGTGTGTTTGATACACCTTATATAAGGAGTTAATATAGGCAATTTAAATGACATTTCGAGAACAATATTCAGGTAATATTATTCAATACGCAATTACGAAATGGACACAGAAAAATATTCTGATACAGATCATCGGATCATACTGTTCTTATTTTAGCATACGATGAGTTTAATATTTAAGATGAAATGACGCATTCGTTTTAGAATCATTCTATATCTTAAATCGTAGTTTGTGGACTGTGGACTGTGGTCAATGCTTATATATATATTATAGTTGATATTATAGTATTTTTTCGATGTAATATAATATTCAAGTATAATAATATGGTGATTTGATAAGAAATCATCTGTGGACATATACACGAGTAGTTGAGCTCTACAATATTTATGTCGAACTAATGCCGAAAAAGAATTATTCGTATAATGTTTACCTCTTGGGTGTATTGCTGAGTATGGCTTCGAGGTCCGACAAATATTTCGGTGAGTTTACAATAATAATGTCGTCCTGCCGAATGGTCAGCGGGTTCAACAGTTTGTTCAGGTACTCTTGCCACGGTATGCTCGGGAACTTTTGTTGTAGGTCTGCGATCTTCATCGGGTTGTACAGCTTGGCAGCGTCCCGGCGCTCTTCCAGCGGCAGCGATATCTTGGCCAATCCTATCTCGAAGTCCAACGACTCCCTCAGCTCCTTGGTGGCCCTCTGCTTGTCGGCGCCGAACAGCACCGCGATGTCCACCATGTACCTGTAGTACGCGGCCACGATTTTGTCGTCGGTGCCCTTGACCAGGTACTCCCGGCTGAGTCCCAAGGACGCTTGATCCAACTGAAATGTGTCGGTGGGGCGCAAAAAGTACCCGTCAAACGCATTATTACACACACTCCACTCAATAATAATAATAATGATAATGAAAAAATAAAAATATTATTGTATGTATAATGTAAATCGGCTCACGTCAATGGCTCTCATCGTGGTGTTTTTTAAGTCCGTGCTGATGGAGAAGTCGATGAAATAGTCCACGCTGTAGCCCGCCTTTCTGAACCTGTACACGCTGTCCTTCCAAGTGAAATCCGCGTCGTTCCATTTATCGGCTTCCAACACCGGCCATCCGCCGAGGCTTTTCAACATTTCCTTGATCGGTCCCAAGCCTTCCTTTTCGATTTTTTCTGTTAATAAAACAATTATAGAGATTGTATTACAATATATACTAATAGGTGTACCATAATCACGCGATAGTAACTATAGACATTATAAGCTTTGTGTCGATCGTATTATTAACTATACCTTTGTCCATGCACGATTTGTACAGTAATTTCGCCATTTTGAACGGTTTTTGTTCATCCTGTTGAATGGGTTCGGTGACGATCATTCGAAGCTTGTTTAACAGCGAATCGCTAATCGCGCTGAACGTGGTCTGCGACGTTTTGTCGTCGTCGATGATTGTTTCTTTTATAAAATTACCACACGCGAACTGGTAGAAATCATCACAAGGATCTACTGATGGATCCATATTATTGATTACGGAAGCCGCTATAACAGTAAACAATATTTTAGTGACATTTATAATAAAGCGTAGGTACGTGGTTATATTTACCAACTAAACGATTTAAACATTTAATTACATTTACTATTATAGATATATAAATATTAATCGAGTCCTATATCAAATGAGTTATTTGCTTACCAGCTTTCACACAACCGGTAGTGAGACAGATATTATCCTTTTCGTATTCCCTGTTTTGGAACAGACTTCTACCTCGTGATTTGCCAATCAAACCATTATTTTCAGCTGATATCGACGGAAGGCTCTCTGGGGACGTACAAAATCGGTTAAAAATTATAAACGTGTCGAGTTAAATGCTATCATTATACCTATCTAATTTATATGATATAATAATGATAATCATAATAATATATGAACACGCAGCGTGCAGAACAGCATATGATTTTGCTGGATAATATACCTAGTCGGCTTAACGTTGTAAATCATTGGAGTAATGATCGTATTTTTAGAATGTTACAAAATAATAACTAAACTGCAATTATTAAAGTTACCATTAAATAAAATGTTGTTTTTTTCATAATATCATATTATATAATTACTAAAGTATAGGATATTATAGTTGCGATAAACTGTGCGTGCACCATTAAGAAAGGTTATTATAAGAACGTCTAACTGGCTCTCACTTCGATATGATTTTCAACCATTTAATTGGAAAAGTATAAACACTGCGTATATTTCACATGAACATTATTTTCATTTCTATATATATAATATAAATATGGAGAACTGAAATGTGTAATTAATGGATGGCGTGGTGAATTTATAATTAATGTTTACAAAAAACGGATGGTAAAAATAATATTTTTAAATACAATAATTTATTTTTGTATTCTGCTATATAAGTAGAATGTGATTAGATACAATGTGATTTTATGGAATATGTCATATAGTTGCTTTTACGAAAATATTATATTTATATGACAAATTAAATATTAGATAATATTTTTAAGATGAAATAAAATATTAAAAACAACTATAGCATAGCACGAAAAAGTTTCATATGTCAAATAATCATTATATTTTTAAAATGTAATAAATTATCATCCATTTAATAATTATTGTGTATTTTATTTTAATCATTATTCACTGATGAATAGATTTATTAAAGTGTTATGTGCTGCGTATAAATGTTGAAACTGACAGCTGTTTACTCGTATTATGGGACTACCTACATCATCCTCAAATATATTCAAGGCTTATATATCTATGCAGCCACATAGGTTATGTTTATTTACAAAAAATTAAATTATCAAACGACTACGGGCGTATACGTATGTAAAATAAAAAATATTATCGAAATGTATTATGAAAAAAAAAAAATAATAAAAAAATATGATAGAACACGTCGTGCAAATACGAAAACGAAAATCTTCCGGGATTTCTCGGAAATTATCAATAAATATTATTATTTATACGTGATTTGTAATCGTTTTGAAAACTGTAATGATATTACGCGAGGTATATATATATATACTATATAATATCATTCACTGCGGAAATCGAAAAATTGTAAATTTCCTGTCAATCCTATAATTCGACTAACTCCAGTTCCGGTTGTCGCTGCGTCCGAACTGGAGTGATTTTTTTAATTTTAATTTTCTCGCGCACGATTTATACTATTCGTTTTACACCTCGTCGCATTACGATTATATTTCGCGTTGGAAAATCGCAACCAACTGATAAGTGATAAACATTAATGACTTCTGCTGCGATTGCGATTCGCATAAACCGCGGTGATGGTTATTACCGTTTGGCGCCCAACACCGGTTTCCGCGGGCGTTTAAGTTTTACTTCAATATGGAGTATGGACACGTTTAAGTTTTTATTTTAGCGGACACGTATTTTCGTTGCGGTCCGTTATAATATGGAGCGCAGCAACGGGTTTATTTTATGATATTATGCTGCACTGTGTCGACGACCGAACCTGGAACTAGTTTATCGGGTGAGCTTTGTTTTTACGTAGGTAATATAATATTATTTACGGGTCACATTATAATAACGTGATAACTCGACATAATTATATTTTAATATATACTGTAGACAGTGTACAGCAACATCAGTTCTTCCGCCAGTCCTCGATACCGCGGAAAAAAAAGATAACTATCTATGTACTGTTCCTTGTTGGTACTCACTCTTGGTGTAATATAATTGTGTCAATGGACCGCGTATGTGGGTAGGTACATAGGGTGTGTCCGGGGAAGATTTGAAAATTAACCGCTATAAACCTATTAGTATAAGTACACCGAAATTACATTTAAATGTGTCACATATGGTACCCTGTACCTGCAGCTAATCACTCCGCTGTTAATCGACATCATATTTTCGTACAATATTATGTGGATATAATACAACGTGTTTAATTTTTTTTTGTTATAATATTGTGCACTAGTTAATATTGCGCCGACGAGAGATCGTGGAACTAGTTTAACGGGCGAGTTTTATTTTTAACGCACATTATTTATGGGTCGTATTATAATAATGTGATAATGTAACATAATTATATATTATGTACGACCATAACGTTTACATATCATTAATTATTATCTGCACTGCATCTTATCGGTACCGACTCGGTATATATCGCACAGTAGATTCTTATTATGTCAAACGTCGATATTATACAGAATTTTTCGTAATCTCGAACTCAATTGAAATCTCATTTAACCTAACCTACCATTACAGTAAAACTAGATATCTCGAATTTTTTTCTGTTCCCTTCGAGATTCGACACAACCACGGTCCACGGTTTACTGTAACATCATTGTAATTATTTAGTGTTCACATACAGCGTGTGTCTAAAGTATCTATATATACAATACATTGAAATCACATTTAAATGTGTCACACGTGGTATCCCGTACCTGCAGCTATCACGCTGCCTTTAATCGATATCATATTTTATGTACTTATAATACACTGGTCTTACAGTATTGTTTATACCCTTGTTGTGTGGTTGCGGGGCTCAAACAAATCAAACCTCAAACGTTATTCGTCTTACCCATATTGCAGCCGTGGTTGAAGTACAACGTGGACAGAGCAAGGGCCAGGAAAGAGGACGCCAATAGCATTCCTCCGGCGACGATGGTCAGATTCCGTTCCAAGTTCGTCCTCCTCTTCCACCATGTCGGGTTTCTGAAACGGACCGAAAACCAATTATTATAATTCTGAGCAAAAAAATAAATAAAGCAATATGCAAATTTCCGAGTGTGTGTGAAATTTATGACCATATAGAAGCGCAGTTTATAGACGCAGCTTGCAAGTCGTAGGCACGTCAGCGGTCATAACTGCGAGTAATTAATTATTTATTACGCACAGGTATAAACGCGTACCTATTGATAATAAATAGTATACGGATGCAATAATGCAATATTATAATAGTAGTTTAACTTTTGGACGTGAAAAACAGGAAAACGTCTAACGGCCGTTTTACGCTATCGCCGCGACTGCAACAAAAAGTGTCCACATTTATCATAAATCAAAAATATATTATAATATTGTAATGACGTGTTATGTATTCATTAATAATATTGTCGGCTATCCGTTGTTGCAGTCGTTATTCTTGTACGGGAGACGAAAAAAATCGTCATTATTGTATTATTTGTTGGCATTTAGCATACATTATAACACAAACAATGATATTTTGCAAACCATGTGTATAATCATGTTTCGTGTTCGTATGAGACGTATTTATTTGATCTATGCGTAAATGCCTATATCATCGTAATATGCAGTGAGTGTCTGGAGGATTTGACAATTATTGCTCATTTAATTCGTTGTTTAAAAACGGTAGCTCCTACTTATTGGACTTGATTTGATAAATAATATATTATCGCTTTTATAATTCGAGTCCATTTACGGAATTGGTTGATAAAGCGAAGGTTCAAGAGTAAAAATATAATACTATATACTATCCGTATATAATTATAATAGATTTAAAAGCTAAATTTAAAAATTAGGCTGTGTATAAGTACACATATTTATTATTATTTATTTATTTAGTATGTATTTATTTATGGCTTAATGTATATATAATTTAATATAATAATTATTGTACAAGTTGGATTTTAAGTTGGATTTTTAAAATTAGAAGAAAACAAATAGAAAGTATATTCATAAATATACCCATAATTATCTATACATTTGTTTATCCAATATTGTGTATTTTAATAATCGATCCCATTAACTGCTGTAGTGAATGCGATTGACGATTTTTTTTATATAATGTTAATACCTAGTTTATATTCTATAAATACCAATCGAACTCGGGACGAGCCTGGTCAAGTCTAATAGACAAATGATTTGATTTAGAGTTAACCACTAGTCTAATAATAGAGAGCGGCACCTAATGTATTCAAATCCTGCAGGTAGGTTAAAGTTAATATCAGCTAAAATTTTTAGTTGGGTTTGAGAGATGGGCATAGCTTATAAGTTATAACTTATCATAATATTGTAATGCGCACATATAGCAAAATGCTCCTCCGGTTACAAACTACAAAGTATAATAATATTATATTTTAGCTTTGATTTTAATTTTTGCAAATCAACATAAGTCCTATCAACACAACTACCATAAGACCTGATGAAAATAGGTTATAGTTATAACATTACGTATTTAGATTTTTAATTCGTATTTTGTAAATCATTTGTTTGTAATACATGTACACGCGGCGTGCACTCTGATAATTTTCGGAGACTGATAAAGAAACCGTAAAGTCATTGGTAATATAACATTAGAACAGCATATGATACAAGAACCTATACAGCCGATGCATTTCGCTTTAATTATTTCTTAATTAGTAGTAGATACTAATTAATGAGTTTTGAACGATGCCGATTTGGTTTCCCGAAAATAACAGTCATAATGATATATTACACTACGATTATCATTACTTATGAGTTACTTGTACAATTTATAGTTGCTGCCGAGTGTATACCAGCCGTACCACGTCATAGTAATTTTAATACTATCGCTGTGTTGAAACGTAATCGGTCGTGTAGCAGTCTACCGATGGTATATTATTGTGACGTACATCGGCGTGATTGATACTTCGGGAAAACTGTAAAAACCTTAGGAGGAAACGATCTTTGCAATGGACTGTATACCATATTATTAAGCGCAAACACAGGCGTCGATGTTATACACGATTTATGTAAATCAATATTGCAGCTGATACAGCCGGCTGTGTATAACAGTAGAAATATTATTGTATTCATAATAAAATGTATTATACTCGGTGAAAATTATGACGAACCCGAGTACGTGAAATCGACCATGACCAATCGACCATACCCCCATGTAATTAAACGGCCACTGTCTGCGTTCGATGTTTTTTTTTTTTTTTAACTGAAAACCAAAAACTAGAGAGAGAAAAAAAAAACGAAAAAGTGAAAACAGGAAAAGACTCGAACCCACATAATAGGTGGCTGCACGATACCATTATCGTGCGTATTGTTGGAAATGCCTCCGCGCACGTACAACGATCATCTCAAATGTATAATGTTATGTTGTCCACCACCGACCTGAGCAAAGCGAGTTGTCAAACACAAAAGCCGAGTCGATTAGACCGGAGGACTCGTTTTCGAACCGAATTTTCGTTCGAGTTACAGACCGAATTTTCTCGCTTCTCGTGAAAATCGCGATGCACATGAACGTTTTATTTTGGACGCCCGCTGTAGCCATGCGTACACGGCGTTATATATTTTGGTTTTATGTTGTGTTGACAGTTATTGTGTAGGTACTTAAAAATAAAATCATATTTATCAAACAGACAACTACCATTTCTAAACGTATCTCAAACAAAATAGTTTGCTTAGGTATAGATATTGTAAATTCGTGTGACGTTTAGCGGCATGTATTAATAATATTATAATAGTATATTTTTTTTTTGTGGAACATACAGCTAGGTGCATGTTATTTATTCTCCTAGCCACTTTCTCGTCCGATGGAAATATAGAGTGTTTTTAATGGCTCGACTTTAAAGCTGTACAAAAAAAAAGTGGACAAAGGCAACAATTAGGCACTATAATTCATAAATATTATATTATTATATATTGGGCACTATCATTATGAAGATATTATATTATATATGGTGTTAGGCACGAAGACACACTGTCCGGACCAGTTTGGACTACTTCAAGATCAGTGACCGGGGAACGGGTTTGGTCGGCACCACGAAAAAGGAAATTAATTTTTAAAAAGCCGTTTGACGTATTCGCATAGAAATCACGAAAATATATTATAACTATCGTATTTTTGCACAATTTACAGACATTTAAAACAAACCGCAAAAATTATCATACATTATCTTATATTATGCGTATATTTGGGTATATTTGCGTATATTTCCGGAATTCTATGTTGTTTCCCATCATATACTGCAGACTCGAGGTTTAAACCATATACTCGGTATATGTTAATGGTTGAAAACGCAACATACATAATGTGCTCTTGAAGTTTTTTAATAATTGCGTTGGGTCGAATTTGATGTCATTTCTCGACCTGCAAGTCCACCCACTTAGGGGCGACACTGACATATTATATTATTATTATTATTATTATTAAGTGTTGTAACTTAAAGCTTAAGGTACCTAAGATATAATAAAGTTAAGAAAGCATATAATGTTTGACCACAAGTATTGTATAGATATATAATCGATGTACATAATAATAAATAGGTAATAAATTGTGTATTTTGTTTAAATCATTGTATGTGACCCTCGTCTGGATCTGCAGATTTTGACGATATAATCTCCAGGGACTGATCGCGGTATTATTGTCATATGGTGTTTAGAAAACGGCCGGGAAACCCTTTCTGGTGAAAACTATTGAATACAAAGTTGCAATCAAAATGGAACAGGCACAAGTATGGAATATTGGAAATACTGCGAGAAAAAATCAACCTGATTGGTTGAATTTTAACTATTGAAAACCCAAAAGATAATCAAGGCTTACATCATAATATATAAACGCTAGAAACTAGAACCGAAAATTAGCTTTTATGCTCAAAATGATTACACTTCCATAAAATATTTTATTGATATTCGTTTGGAAAATATAGAGAACAAGTTGTCACGTCAGACGCATACTAAATATTGATAGGTAAGTACACACTTATTTGTGGGGCCTGCAATAGTGTAGCAATAAGCAGTAAAACAAAAAAAAAATACATTATATAACGATAATACGTACTAAAAAAGCTATTTGGCTTTAATTCAATGCGTTTAATTATATTTTATCCGTCGTGAATAATTAATTGTAATAATAATATTTTAATACTTGTTCACTTCGTGGTAAGTTTAGTTTAAACCCGGCAAATATCAATTTTAAGGCCGTGATTAATATTTATTATGGAAGTTTATTGCGTTATGCATAAAAAGTAATTATTATCGATGCGTTCGTTTTTTTTAGAGAGAAACATAAAATGTATTCGATTTGTATTAACTGCGTTTATGTCTTTTCGAATGTTATAGAATGTTTTTGAATGTGTATTTTTATTGCCAACACAAAGTGTACAATTTTAACGATATTTAACGGTACCTCAATTAGGTATAACTTAACTGTCTGCGACATTACGCGCATCAGTGAGACATTAAGAGTGCTGGTTTTCGACCAATTGTCTTTCACTGCTTTTCTGCTCAATTTTGAGCATTGTTGGATCTCATTGTTTGTTGTTATTGGGGCTGAGGACTTCTAGAATTCAAAAACCTCAAATGTTATCGGCCAGAATGTCAGACATACCTATAGGGGAGTACTTAACCAATAATATTAATATAACATATTATAAGTTGACCGTAGACACTCGGAAAATAATAATTTTTTACAGATTTTTATATTTTTATGTGTTGTATAAGTTTTATTATACTTAGTATTAACATTTTCCAAATGTGTACCTATAATACTTATATAGTATAAGCCTACGCTCCTAATTTTTCTAACATACTCGAATATCTATGAGTTTATATGCAACAACGACAGAATATGCAAAAATATGAAAAATAAAACCTTCTTGTGTTATAAAACATATTTATACATCACTCACATTGTTCTGCGATCTTTCAAGAAAACACTAGAAATTCTCAGCACTAGTTATTATTATGATTAATTTGATAAAATCTTCCATATAGATTTTTCA